GGGAGCCTGATGCAGGACTTGATCCCGGGACTCCAGGATCATGACCTGAGCCGAAGGCAGTCGCTTAACCGACTGAGCCACCCAGGCGCCCTGACTCTGCTCTATTAAAGAGACAGCCAGTAGGGAATTAGTGGTGGTCTCACTTCCGTCAGTTATTAGAGCAACCACAGCCAAGTTACTTCTCCAATAATCGAATTCTTCTGTGACAATGGAAAGATATAAAAGTGTTTACATCATGGGGTTATTTTAAACAAGATAGCATACATAAATACACTTAATCTGGTACATCTTGGAAGCCTTCTACAAATGTTAGCTGTTATGATGACCTTGAACTTGTTATTTAAACTGTTAGTGTCCTTAACTTTGATTGTATTTATATCTTGTATTCTCAACTAGAGCATTTTTTTTTTTTGGTATTATGCTGTTTTGGTTTGTACCCATAAATCTAATATAGAGTCTTATGCATCCATAATAAATATGCTTATTTCTAGACAATGGAGGGGAAACTTCTTATAGAAGAAACTCAAACTTCAGGAAAAAAAAGCATCACCTAAAGTCACAGGAAGAAGAAAGTAATTCCATTCATTTTTGGAATTTTTAAAAAAAGTTACATAAAATTTATGGAATTTAAATATATGGAGACAACCTCACGCCAGTCAGAATGGCTAAAATTAACCACTCAGGGAACAACAGATGTAGGAGAGGTTGTGGAGAAAGGGGAACCCTCCTACACCGTTGATGGGAATGCAAGCTGGTGCAGCCACTTTGGAAAACAGTGTGGAGGTTCCTCAAGATGTTAAAAATAGAACTACCCTACTACCTGACAATTGCACTACCGGGTATTTACCCCAAAGACACAGATGTAGTGAAAAAGAAGGGCCATATGCACCCCAATGTTCATAGCAGCAATGTCTGCAATAGCCAAACTGTGGAAAGAGTCGAGATGCACTTCAAGAGATGAATAGATAAAGATGTGGTTCATATATACAAGGGAATATTATGCAACCATCAAAAAAATGAAGTCTTGCCATTGCAACGACATGGATGGAACTAGAAGGTATTATGCTAAGTGAAATAAGTCAATCAGAGAAAGACAATTATCATATGATCTCACTGATATGAGGAATTTAAGAATCAAAACAGAGGATCGGGGCGCCTGGGTGGCTCAGTCGTTAGGCGTCTGCCTTCGGCTCAGGTCATGATCCCAGGGTCCTGGGATCGAGCCCCGCATCGGGCTCCCTGCTCTGCGGGAAGCCTGCTTCTCTCTCCCCCACTCCCCTTGCTTGTGTTCCCTCTCTCGCTGTGTCTCTCTCTGTCAAGTAAATAAAAATCTTTAAAAAAAAAAAAACAAGAATCAAAACAGAGGATCATAGGGGAAAAGAGGAAAAAATAAAACGAAGAAATCAGAGAGGGAGACAAACCATAAGAGACTCTTAATCATAGGAAACAAACTGAGGGCTGCCCAAGGGGAGGGGGTAACTGGGTGATGGGTATCGAGGACGGCATGTGATGTAATGAGCACTGGATATTATGTAAGGCTGATGGATCACAGGCCAGTACCTCTGAAACCAATAATACACTGTATGTTAATAATTGAACTTAAATAAAAAATATAAACAAAAAATAAAAAAATAAATATATGGAGACAAACAAATTTATTACAAGTAATATCAGATTATGATTCAGTTTCACATTATGTATCCTTAGGACTAATGAAAATGGAAGAGGGAAGATTGGAAAGAGACAAATAAGGAAAAATAGGAAGATTGAACAGGGCAAGAAGTAGGAAAGTAGAAATGACGTAATTTGACAAATACTTATTGAACACCAATTCTGTTTAAACGACTCCTAAAGACATACGGCCCCTGAGAACAAAAGCTATTGGGAGAGGTGGGGTTTTAGGTACCATGACCACACAGAAGGTGAAACGTTGAGATGGGGACTTGGGGGGCTCTCGAATCTCTCAAAACACAAAAGGTATCGACCCCTTCAGCACACAACACGCTCGCCCAGGCTTCTGCCACCCATGGAGACTGACACGTCTCAGAGCCTCATCTCCTGCAGAACCTCCAGGTCCTTGACAGGAGTCTCCTCAGAGCTCCCCTCACATCCTTCTTCCTCAGGGTGTAGATGAAGGGGTTGCGGGTGGGGGTGATTATGGACTAGAAGAGGGAGATAAACTTGCCCTGCTCTTGGGAGTAGCTGGAAGGGGGCTGCAGGTACATGTAGATGGCAGGCAGGTAGAAGAGGGAGACCACCACAAGGTGGGAGGAACAGGTCCCAAAGGCTTTGTGCCTCCCCCTGGAGGACTGGATCCTGAGCACCGCGCGGGCAGTGAAGCCGTAGGGGAGAAGGATGAGCGTTAGGGGCACCAGCACAAAGAGCCAGTGTGGCATCGTTCACGGCGGTGTCTGCACACGACAGCTTCATCATGGCTGGCACCTCACAGAAGAAGTTGTTCAGCACCTGAACTAGGGAGCTGCCAAAGCCACTGAGCCAGGCCACAGCCACGAGCTGCTGGCCGAGGGGGGGCATGATCACGGCATACCGGAGGGGCTCACAGATGGCCACGTAGCGGTCCGGGGCCATGGCAGCCAAGACGATGCTCTCAGTGCACCCCAGCCAGTGGAAAATGGCGTACTGCGCTGTGCAGCCGCCGTAGCTGATGGTCGTCCTGGAGCTGCCCATGTTGACCAGCATCTGTGGGACTGTGGCGGAGGTGTAGCAGAAGTCCAGGAAGGAGAGGTGGCCGAGAAAGATGTACATGGGGCTGTGGAGCTGGGGATCCAGCCGGGACACCAGGGTGATGGCGATGTTCCCCAACATGGCCAGAATGTAGGACACCAGGAGGACCACAAAGAGGGGGAGTTCCAGCCATGGCCTGTCAGAAACACCTAGAAGGATGAATTCCTTAGGGGGATCCCCCAGGAAGCTCTGGTTGTCACCTCTCATGCTGAGGCATTCTCTGGAGCCTGTGATGAGTCAAAGTGAATGAAACCTGAGAACAAGAATTAGTTGGCTTCCTCATGGCTGTGCCTGAGCTTTCCCAAAGAGTTGCATCCTGTCTCACCTCCGTGGAGACCCCGAGATATGGGGGAGTCAGAACCAGGAGGCAGAGCAGCTGCCCATGTGTTTTGCTCTGCCTCCTACTCTGTGACCTTGACTATGCCATTTAATCTTTCTGAACTTTGATTTCTGCATCTGCCACGTGGGGAGAAAATACTTGCAAAGTTCTGGGGATGATAGAGCAGCTTGATGTTTGTGAAAGCATATCAAAAATAAATAAGAATTTTCTTCCGGTTTGGTCAAAGTCTGCCTTATGCCCCATCACCGTTACAACGTTTGATTTCTCTCTACGCACTCACTGGCAGGGAATTGACCACTTTCTTTGGCTTTCCGGCTTTGCCTTTTGGAAGTGATTGTAGGAGGGAGGTGAGAAACGGCATCAAGCAAGTTAGAAGCACGCTCGACTCATCTGCTAAGGCTTACATCTGGCTCTGTCACCATGAAGAGGTGCTCTCTGGCTTATCTGCACATGCTGGTCTCTCTCCTAGGGCCGTTCACAAACAGGCAGCACTATCATGCACTTTGAAGTAAAAAAAAGTACAATCCAAGATCCTCTGAGACCCTGGCGTGAAGGAGCTAAGTCACTTTGGCTGTTGATTTGGTCATGGCACCTAATAAGATCCCAGGACATAGGGTTTTGAGCATCGGGAGAAAGATCTGGAATGTGTAAGAACCACAGCCCCTGGAGTTTTCTCTGAAGGATCAGATTGCCTCTAGAGCTAACATTTATCGGGCTGTTTGAGTGACATCTAGGTTTCCTCCACAATTTTGTTGCCAAGCAGCTGTTTCCTCTTGCAATCAGAAAACACAGCTGATTTGATTTTTGGACTCTGCAGCTTCTAGAAAGCAACTGGGTGGCCACCTGCCGATTCATGGGTCTCTTCCACTGAGGTCCATCAGCCCCCACCTCCTACTCTCTTCCCAGGACCACAAACCCTCAAGTTCATGATGGCGATGATAGAATGCATGAGAGGCTGAGAAGAAATTAAATCCTGTGTGCAGGTAATTTATGGAGGATTCGTTCTTAGCTCCTCGTTTGGTGCTTTATGCATAAACTATAACGTCATGGAGATCTACTCAGTGCTGTGGCAATAAACAAGTGTTGTCCTCCCCTCCAAGTCCTGCATTCTTAAGAACCCTGGTATTACTTGAAAACAGCTCCAACTCTGGGGGTTCAGTGGATACCTAAGTGCAAACTATTTTCTCTGTTGTTTCAAAACTACATACTCTTTCCAATATTCTTGTGGAACGCCCAGTTGTTACACTTCTTCCCACTGTTCTTTGGAAACTACTTCTTGGGTGACTCTTAGAGAATGCAGTTATTTTATCTCTAATGGGAGCTCAGGACACATTTTCGATTCAGTGAGCTGGGAGGGGCAAAATCGGGCTTGTCCAACTTTCAAGGTGAAAAGTAATCACACCATTTCCCTTTCTTAGGTTTCTGATTCCAAAGTTTCTTCTCAGAGTCTACACTGGGCAAGAAAGGGAAATGTTGCAGGGATAGTGAGGAAAGATATACAAGGATGGAGGAACTAAGAAAGGTAGAGGGTAGGTATGGGTCACACTTAATAAGGAATGCAAATTATGAAACACTCCCTGTGAGCCAGATGCTGGGATTACTTAGTGCTTTCATGACTCAGTAAGGGGGATGTTTCTACCCGCATTTTGCTGTTGGGCAGAGTGGCTTGGGGAAGATGACTGGTCTACTGTAGACTACTACTTACATAGCAGCACATGGTAAAGCCAAGACCAAAAGCTAAGCTCTTGCTCTTAACCATTATTCTCTTTAGTACTTTGCTTTTGAAAGAGCAGGAACAGCATGCACACACATCACTGAGACAGAAGAGAATGACAGAAACAGGAGAGTAATGTCACCCAGGAGGAAAGGGGGAGGGGATTGAAGAGGAGACACTGAGATTTCCAGTTCAGTATACCCAGCGTGCATGCACGTGCGCGCACACACACAAACACACACTGGTGGACTGCAGAGCTGGACACCAGCTCAACCTGACCTTTCTCACTCTGCATCGGATGCCTTGTGGTCACACTCTGTCCACTTTGGAACTGCTTCGGATCCAGCCTCTGAACTCCCTTGACCTCCTTACCCCTTCCTTATCACCCAGATAGAGGTGTTCCCCGGGGGCACTGCCTTGCTTCCCAGGATAAACACAGCGATTTCCACATCTGCCACAGTCACACTCCAGCAGAGTCCTTCCAGATCTGGGTCTCTAGCTGTCACTTCTTCCCTGACGTCTAATCCCCTTTTTGACACTGTTCACTGGAGCATCCCAAATTTACCCTGTCGGCTGTTCCTCCAAATTCAGTCCAGCACCTTCCTTCCTATTCCTGGCTGCCTCTGCATCAGTCACCCTGACTCAGAGTGTTATTTCTGATAACAGTCCTCATTGGTCATAGTTCATCAGTGACATCCTATCGGCTTCACTAGCCTAATGTCGGAGCACACGCTGTCTCCCTGCATCTGTTGTCCTTGGCCAGAACCACCATCTGGACCCCTCTTATCTAACCCGCTACTCACGTTGCCAATGGAGTCGTCTTTCTTTCTTTCTTTCTTTTTTTTTTTTAATTTTGCATATTCTTTTTTTTTTAAAGATTTTATTTATTTATTTGAGACAGAGAGAATGAGAGAGACAGAGAGCACATGAGAGGGGGGAGGGTCAGAGGGAGAAGCAGACTCCCTGCTGAGCAGGGAGCCCCTTGTGGGACTCGATCCCGGGACTCCAGGATCATGACCTGAGCCGAAGGCAGTCGCTTGACCAACTGAGCCACCCAGGCGCCCTGGGTCGTCTTTCTAACACTCAGGTCTTAAGAGCAGAAATACCTTTAAGTGTTCCAATCACCTAAAAACGAAACAACCATCTCCTTAAACAGTTGTGTGGCAAGAGTAGGGTTGTATTCTTCTAACACTGAATGCCCTGCCATTTCTTCTGACCACTGTCCCATCTCTCTGTCTTAGCAGCCGCCATGAGATAGTCAATGACAGAACTCACGCCACACCTACTGGTAGACCAGGGAGATTTTGAACATATTGACAAAACCCTGTGATCTGTATCATTCTATGTATGACATAGAACCCATAGATAAATGCACATGTGTAGATAAATCTCCTACTGTCATATATTTTTATTACGAAGAGTTCCTCTTGGAAATCAGCAGAACATGTTCCCTACTCCAACAAACAGGAAAGGACATCTAGGAATAAACTTATGAGCTGCGGGAATGTATACCATTTGTATACGGGGTTTTATTGCCCTATTAGTCCAAGATCTCTTTCTTCAATCTAAAATTCAGTCTAAAATTTCCACCACTCAGATAAGCCGGTGAAGGCCCCATTTAGCTGTCAAGGTCAGAACAAGGGTGTTGAGTCTTGGGGACATTTCCCTTCATCACACACAGCAAAAGCACTTCTCTCAGGGTTTGCCTGAGTTTCCAGTCCTGTCCCCATGGCATGTGTACTCTTGGGTGGCAGTTCCCATAAGACGACACTCAGGAAGTGAGCTGCCACAGCAAGGAGGAGTCTGAAGGCACAGCCTCTGCGTGTTCTGCTAACTGTCCTCCACCAGGTCCATGTGCGCAGTCACCGGCCCGTCTGTCCCCAGACCTTGCTCTTCCTGCACTAGTCCTTTGCCTACCCTGAGTCCTCCTGCCAGGAATGCGGTTTCATGTCACACAGGACAGCTCAGCTTCTGCTTCTTTCAAACCATCCTCACTGATGGCTCACTGAATCGTTCCCTGCAAGCTCCCATGTACAAAGGGCTTGGAGGAGCATTGATACCCACATATCCCCACAAGGGGGCTGAAGTGTACTTCCTCAAAATGCCTTAATCGTAGAGATTATGCAAGTATTTTGTAACAAGCAGTATGAGAGGAAGGGAAGTAAACCAGCACTGAGTGAACACCCATCACCTCTCCATCTGTATACCAGGAACCACGCACGTGCCATTTCATGTCCTCCTTCAGTAACTCTGGGAAAACCAAGAAGTCCATGAAGATTAGGAACATGCTTTTCACGCAGGTCAGCACCCCACTATGACTCCGTGGGGACAGCTATGTAAGTCTCCTGTTGCTGGTTTATCCAGAAGGAAGTTACCTCCCCATAGATGTCCTAACCCCCGACCCAGGAGACCCCCGCCATCAAAGTGTCAACTGTCCTGTTTTACAGCATGATTATTTTGTTCAACACCCCTCTTGCAGACACCTGCTCCCCCCCACACAGGCCACTGCCTACCTTTGTTCTTTCAATATTTCAATTTCCTGCTAAATTTTGCCTCAAAACTTTCTTTCTCTGGGGCTGGTAATATTTGGCTTTCCTCACTCCATTGCTTTCTTTATAGGGCCATACTGGGATTACTATTGTTTTTGTGATTATGACACAAGTTTTTCAAAAATATTGAACGGTAGTGGGGCCCCTGTGTGGCTCAGTCGGTTAAGTGACTGACTCTGGATTTCGGCTTAGGTCATGATCTCAGGGTTGTGACATCCGAGCCCTGCATCAGGCTCTGTGCTCAGCATGGACTCTGCTTGAGTATTCTTTCCCTTTCCTCCCTCCTCTCCCCCTACTCATGCACTCTCTCTTAAATAAATACATAAATCTTAAAAAAAATACTGAACAGAGGTAGAAATGAAAAAGGGTCCTCATACACTGTGTGAACAACCTCCTCTCTTCTGATGAATATTGGACAGTTGGTCTACCTACAAGCAGGGGCAGCCTGTTCTGCTCCTAGCTGCTTTTTCTAGCTTGAAGTACACAAATTTACACATTCTGCTTAATTATGGCCACTATTCATTGACTCACGTCTCCTCCATCTCATGTCCCCTTGCTCTCCAGCATAGACCAGTGTTCATGCTGAGGACTAACCACTTACCTC